GGAATAGTTAAAGTATAAAATTGAAACTAAATACATAAAAGGGAATAAAAGTTTTGCATTTATTCAAATATTTAATTCATCTTTTGTATCTATGAATATATCATATGCAAATTATGGACAAAAATAAACAAATTTTTAATTTTTGAAATATTGTCATTTACCAATAATTGTCACTTATCAATTATCAATTATTGATAATATCAATCAATCATCAACATTATCATTTATCAATTACCCGATATTATCAATGTAAAGTATATACCATCCTCTCTGTCAATTATTGATTAATCTTCATTGTCAATTTTCCTCTTTCTCATCTTAAAATATGTTCTTTTTTCTTCTTTTCCTTTTCTCCCTTTATTTCTTCTTTTCTTTTTCTCTTTTTATCTCTCTTTTCCTTTCTCTTTTTCCTTCTTTTTTCTTTCTTTTTTCTCTCTCTTTCTCTTTTCTCCCTCTTTCCTCCTCCCTCTTTCTCCTTCTCTCTTTCCTTCTCTTCAAAATATGAAGAAAACGTAAAAAGAAATTTGCGATTCAATAATAATAATAATAATAGTAATAATAATAATAATAATAATAATAATAATAATAATAATAATAATAGTAATAATAATAATAATAATAGTAATAATAATAACAATAATCATAATGATAATAATAATAATAACAGTAATAGTAATAATAATAATGATAATAATGATAGTCATTGTTCCTCTTTTTCTTTCTCTTCCCTTTTCTCTTTCTTTTTTCTCCCTCCTTTTCTCTATCTTTCCCTCTCTTTCTTTTTCTCCTGTAATATAACATTGCATTATATTTTATTCTATGTGATTATGATGGTCATAACTATTGTTGCTTTTAGTTGTCTTAATGGTAGTTCATTGAGGGCGGTCCTGTCAAGGTTTTACCTCGGAAATATCTTTGAACGGATGGTAGCGCCTAATGTCTTTCATGTTTTCCTTGTGAAAATGTCTCCCGGACAACAACATATAATGTCTCTTCCCACATCTTCCCTCCCTATGAAATGTCCCCAAATAGACGATAGCGTGTAGTAATATCTATTATGTCATCTTAGTACAACATCCCTTAAGGACGATAACGTATAATGTCTGTCACATTTTCCTTGTAAAATACTCTTCAAATGTATGACAATTCGTAATGTCATCTTTGTTTTTCATTAAATTCACTTATCAATTTTCTGTTTTTTTTTTATTTTTCGTAAGTTTTACGTGTATATATACATTTAAATATGTAATAAATTATTTAAAATAAAAGTAATTTTATTAGAAAAAATTTTTAGGAATATTACGACGTGGTAAATTTAATTGATTCTGTTAATTCAAACAACAAAAAAAAAAGACGAAATTATGGCTGGTAATGAATCATCTGGGCGAATATATTATCGTGTATTGGATGTCAATCATGCGGGAATTTCGGAAGTTCTACCAGGTTTATACATCAGTGGAATTTGCGCACTAAAAGCATCAACAATTCAGGAATACGGCATTACGTTGATTATCAATGCAACTAGTGAGGTATGTGATATCGAGAAAAGAGGAGAGAAAAAGAAAAAAATTGAAAAATAAATGGTTTTTTTTTTTCCAATTAATATACCACGAAAATTAGCATATTTAAATTTGCAAAAATATAACAAAAAGCAAAAAAAAAAAATCAAATATTTTTTTAGCTTAAAAATATTATGAAATGGAAAAAGAAAAAAACAAACAAAATTTCATAATTATAAGATGATTTTTCAGAATTTCTTTGCTTATTTTATGCTTTTTGTGTGGAAAAAAAAGAGAAAACATTATGGAATTGAATCAAACAAAGTTTGAATTTTTTTTTTATTAAATTTAGATAAAAAGGTTTTTTTTCTGTTTTTTAAATATTTTTAATTTTAACTTTTTATTGACCACTTTTTCCCCATTTTTACCTCCTTTTTTGTTTTTTTTTCACTTTTTTCTTCTCTCAATTAAAGCAAAAATGAGTCATTCACTATCTCTTTCTCTCTCTCCTTTTCTTTTTTTTTTATTCAATTTGTTTAATAAATTGATTAGGATGATGGTTACAGTGGTATATTTGTCCACGTACGAGCCTTTCCCCCACCTGATAATGGCTACTTCTGCGAATAGGAGTACCACATACGATTGATACCATTGGAAATACACCTCTTGTTCCTGATTTTATGGTACCTGTATTCAGCTTTCAAACAGGAACAATTACACTATGGCTAAACGGGTTTTTTTAATTCACTTTTTTATCTTTTTTTTTTTTTTAAATTTGGAGACGTACTGGAAATTGGGACAAATTATTTTGTGGGTTTTAGTTTCAGTGATTAGCCATCGATCCTTCCAGGCTCATTTTATTATCACAGGTAGGGTTTAATTAGATGGGTTAGTATAAAACCTTACATATCCCAACCTTTGTCGAAGAAATTAAGAGGTTTAGCGAAAATAAAAACGAATAGAATTAAAATATTTATGAAAACATTTACTATGTTGTAGGTGCCCAATTCAGCTTCATTAGGCACATTGCCGAGAGTTAAACTTTGGTTGGATGACAATCAAGAATCATGGGCTCTTTCATATCTGGATTTTGTATGTGATAAGGTTTGTTTTCATGTATTATTTATGAAGAGTTTTCTTTTTTCTTTTTAAATGAATTTTCTGAAAAGAAAAATTGGATTTTAGATAAAGTTTTGTTAACTTTTTTCTATCAATTTTTGATTCCTTAACAATGTGTAATAATTTTTGATTGTTATTCTGTTTTTTTTTTTTCAGACAATTGTTATGAAAATGAAAATGGATAACTAGAAGTATCATGATCATAAAAATACTTTTTATCTTTTTAAGATACTGAAAGTGATTGCAAGAGGTGGCAAAGTTCTCATTCATTCGGTACAAGGAGTATCACGTTGCGCAACAATTTGTCTTGCTTTTCTGACCAAATATAAATTTAAAACGTTACGTGATGCATATATTCATTTGGCTTCGGTACGACCAAAAGTGGAACCAAATATTGGCTTTTGGCGACAGTTGATTTCATTTGAACAGGTAAATTATGCATACAAAAGAATGTTCGAAAAAAAAAAAAGAAAATGAAAAAAGAAATGCCACTCAA